GGGGGGGGGGGGGGGGGGGGGGGATAGAGGAGGCTGGAAAAGATTACATCCTCCACGGCCCATTCATCTCCCAGACAGGGCGGGGGTGGCGCTGGTCTGGACACCCGGGTCCCTGAGGGCCCACACTCAAGAAGCCCTGGGTCCCTGAGGCTGCTTCCTGGAATGTTCTATTCTCACAGGACAGGCCGGGGCCCGTCCAAGACTTCTACCGCACATACCTGGAGTAGCTGCCTGCCTTGGCTCCGAGATGGGGAAATGGAAAGAAGGCTGTGAAGGGACCCAACGGCGCCGATCCAACCAGGACCAGAAGTCGGCTACCTCCTCCCTCAGACAGAAGTCCCGGTTCCCTGCCTCCTTCTCCTCCAGGAGGTCAGATCCCCAGCTCCCTCCCTCCCATGCTGGAGTCCAGGCACCCAGCGCCTTCCTCCCTCAGACCGAGGAGTCCAGACCCCCAGCGCCCTCCTCCCTCAGACCTGGGAGTTCTGGAGTTCAGGACTCTCTTCCCCAGGTATCCAGAATTACGTACTCCCAGCCCCCTTCTCCCAAAGAGGATTTGGGCTGGGGGTCTGGTCTCCTGAGATCCCGCTGGGGGTAAGCGGCTGCATATCTGGAGGACTCCGCTCCTGCCTCAGTTTCCTCCGCCAAGCCCCGCCCCCGCTGGCCCCGCCCCCGTCCCTCCCTACCCGGGGGCAGGGCGACCGGGACGCCGGAATCCCGGGGGGGAGGAGGCGCGGAGGCTCTTACCTGGGGCGCCCTCTTCGGCTCCTCCGCTGCCCCGGGCGCGGCGCGGCTCCTCCTCCCGCTCGCTGGCTGCAGGGACGCCCGCTCGCCCGCCGGCTCCTCGCCGCACACTCTCCGGAGGGCCCGGGCGGGGGCGGGGCGGGGCGGCGCCCGACGGCGGAGGAGGGGCCGGGGGGTCCCGCCTTCCACGCGCGTACCGAGACCTCGGCAGCCCGGCCTGGCTCGCTCAGCTCCTGGCCCGCCTCAGCCCCGGGAGGCCAGGCGCCAGCCCCC